TGAATTCAACGATATAATATCATTGTATAACAAAAACGATTCTGAGCGGAGACGGTATGTCAGTTTAGGTATAAGACATATTATATACATATCTATGGTACTAAATCAAAATTTGACCTATAATAGGTACCTATAATGAATTCAAAATTAATCATTTCACAATATCCATTAGGTACTTAAAATAGTTATTCTAGGTTTTTTATTATGTAATTTCGTCCAAATTTGAATTTAAAATGTCTGTAAAAAATAACTGTGTTCATATATTTTTTGGTTACAGTATGAACTATTTATGAGAACCTTTGTTTTAAATTTGCAATCCTTAGCTATAAAAACTGAACATTTTATAATTTATTAATTACAATGATTGATAATTTTCGAGATTTTGATAAATGTTGTCAAAATTCGATCTTTAAATGCTTATAAAAAAAATTGTGACTATGTATTTTTAAAATTTTTCAATTGCTATTGTGACAATATATAAAGAGCCTTGTATTAATTTTTTACACTTTTTAGCCCAACAGATAAAACTTTATTGATATTTATAGAAAAAAAAACTAAAAAAATTGAAAACTGAAAATGTCCGTAAACAGCTCAAAAAATTCAAAATATTTTCAAAATTGTACAGTGTATAGAAAATGCTAATATGAATATTCAGTGAAATGTTCATGTATCTACAGTTATTCGTTTTTGAATTACAACAAAATAAGGAAATCTCTACATTAGAAATCGAGTGAAAAAAAAACTGTGACTAACGATTTTTAATATTTTTCATCTGCCTTTGAAACAATATACTAGGAGCCTTCTATTAAATTTTCAAGTTTTTTTAACCAACAAATAAAATTTTATTGATATTTCTAGAAAAAAAACTAAAAAAAAATGAAAAATGAAAATGTCCCTAAACAGTTCAAAATAAATCAAAATATTTTGAAAATGTTATCGTGTATAGAAAATGCAAATATAAACAACCAGTGAAAATTTCATGTATCTACTGTCATTTGTTTTAAAGTTACACCAAAAACCAAATTCAATTTTCTGAAAAATCGATTTTGTGTAAAAATTCCCGTTTTTCCTTAATTTTTATGTTGTTTTTCCCGGCGCTTGTGAAAACTACTAGGAAATTTGATCCCCAAAGTACCAACTAGATTCAATTTCCTATCAGAAAAGCTACTGTTGAAGAAAATCCAAGCACTTTTACTGTCCTAAAACGTGATGACAGACACAAAAAAAAAATTAAAAAAAAAAACACATCATTGTAAAATCAATACATTCATCGTTTCACTCAGAATCTAAAATTAATTCAGTTACTTTATAAATTGTATATGCTCTAAAGTCTAACGATTCATAAAAAATTAAATTAAATGAAAGAGTTTGTTTTTTAAAAGAAAGTGAACGTGAACGCGTTCGTTTGAAAAAACACGAACGTGAACGAGTTCATTTTTTTAATGAACGTTCCGAACACTTAATATATTGCATCTAGTTTCATTACAAAATCAGATTAACGTAAATTCAATAAACATTTTAATTATTGTATAAGTGTTATCTACAAATATTATATATTAATAGTACCATACACCATACAGCTATTGGTCGCAAATTGTGGAGAGCTTGAGGGAGGCTTAGCCCTCCCCCTCCCAAAAAAAATCCAGGACATTTAATTTTAGAATGCTATATTGTAAGGGTCTACTTATCTTTATTATATTCAGCTCTCCCAAGTCAAAAGTTGAAATTGCACCTATGGATACAGCTAATTCTTAAAACTAGATAATCTACTTATTTAAATATCTGATAACTTCAGAAACAAATTTTAATTCAATGTCTATACATAAAATTAATGAATTTAAGTTCAAAAATAGAGGCATGAGCTGCAGCTGAGCTATACTCATGGGTATAATATATTATTTTATAGGTGGACTATAGGTTTAACTGGTTTAAGTATTTTATATACCCACGATTAATTAATTCATCATTTTTAGAATAGAATAAATATTTATTTTGATATTTCTCATCAAACATCACCATATATTAATAATTACAAATAATAAATATTTAAACAAATCAGAAATTTATCAATATAGGTATATCATCAATGTTGATCCCACTAGCTACTATTAATACTCATTATAAAACCTAGTTACATATAATGGGGTATAATACTACAATAGCCATTAGTGCAAGACGAGTAACTATTCAAAAGTAGGTACTTGATATAAATACACAATACACTAATGGCGGCTCGAAGGGGTATATTATTTAAAACACAAAAAAAAAAATAATAATTAAGTCCTCGTGTGTCTGGGCATATAATAAACTCAAATAGTTATTTTAACATCCATACATAGTAAAATAGTTAATGACAGTTGATTAAATTGAGTAGGTATATCGTATATAAATCAATATAACTGTTGTATAGATAAGGATAACTACTGTTGTAGTCTTGTAGGCAACACATTTCATTAATAATAATAGGATATTATAGTACCTAATCATTTATGGTATTTATGGATTCATTGCATAAATCAAAAGCTCGTCATCTTTATAGAAATACCTACTGCACATTAAAATATATAAAATCTCATTTTCAAAGCCAATTTTATTATGTAATAATATTTTAATTAGATTACTCTACATATATTTTATAATTATATAAAATGGGCGAGATTATTTTAAATGTTAATCATCAAGTATTTAATCACTACCGACTACATACCTAGATATAACATTTATATTTTTTACAATAAACTAAAGTCTATGATTATAAATTACGAATAATAAAACTAAATAGATTTAATTAAATATACACCGATAACAATAATTACCAACAATAATTTTATTTTTATCATACTATTATAGGATGTTATCAAATTATCATTATATTTTAAAATTAATTTTTTTAACTATTTTTTATCATTTTTATCTGATATTATAATACATTATAAATTTTATTATATTTTATTAAATATTTTATTTTTTAATTCTTAACTATATATAGTTTTGAAATTATGAAGATTGGAAGGTTTAAGATCTTTTACGAGTATCTTATACTATAGATATATATTGAAATCAACTATAATTAGGTCAACTACAAATTATTACTAAGTTAAATGTAAAAAAAAAAAACCATAAAACAATAAACTATTTATTGAATTATAACGAGTAATATAATTAACCTTCGATCAGTCGACTTAAATAGTATTAATGACCTAATTATTCTTAAAATCAACATGCTCAAATCAACTATGAAATTAGTTATATTTTACTCTGTCGTTGCCTTAGTTTTTTGAATAAATCCTTTTCTAAAATGTCAAAAAATAAATACTATCAATTTATATTGTTATTATACATAGGTAGTTATAAAACTATAAAAGGTCTTTCAGTGTCCACTGTCCAGATTACTTAGATTAGGTTGCAATTAGTATTTAGTACGGTACACAATGAACTGTTTTTACACTTAATTATTATAAATATTTACAATACTTTACCCTAATATTCCAGCGTAATTGTGAATATTTTCGAATTTAGGTATATAGGAATTAAAATCAGTTTAGGGAGACAAGTTCTTTTCGAAAAATGTTGCACCAACGTGATTTGGCGGTATTCTTTGATCTGGCTATAGATTATGGACGTCAGATCAATATTATTTTATTTCCATTAAATATTTTAAATCATAATAACCAGCAGCGTGCCCAGGACTTTTCGATAGTGGGGAAGTGATGTTATAACTTTATAAGTAATAGTACATTTAAATGAACTGTGGTGATAATACCAAAGACACAAATAAGGGGCTGTATGAAGATGGGGACGATGGAGTGGGGTATAACCCCTAACCTTCCTCTCCTGTTCGGCATGCCACTGATAATAACTTAGTAGTGCAGTTGTACCTACTACGTAGTATCAATATTATTTAATAATCATACCAGCTATTGTATGCATCACAATTATAATATGTGTCCATCGTAGTTGTATTATAATGATAATGTACATTTTCAACACGTTGCAATTGATTGGACATTTGGACATGATAATATCATTAATTGTTATGTGTATACTCATTTTTTCTGATATCATTGTAGACACGACTGACGCACAAAACAAGCAACTGTAATATTATTAGGTTTGGTTCAGCACGCTTCCAACTCGTGAAGGATGCTCTGTTCCTCCTTGGTTTTTTTTATTACAATAAAATAATACCGCAACGAACGAAAATGTCAACATGAATATTATTATCATAATATTATACGTCACACAGTTAAAAATATACTTAAATAATCTGTGCGACAGGCGACAGTATATGAATAATTAATTCTATCTACATTATAAGTTCGATTATTCGCACACTTGAAATGATCAACATCACAGTGGTGTTTTAATTAAATAATAATTAAGCAAATATTATAATGTTATATTAATTGTTATGTTTATTTTTTTTATTTCGCAGGTGAAAATCAACAAGTATTAGTAAACAATAATGCTATTCGGTTGGCTTTTACGTAAGTGCCAAACGAACTCGTAAAAATAAATAAACTTATTATGATTTGAAAGAGATCGAGATAACGGCACTTTGATCAAATTTAAATGTGATTTATTTTCTTATCGTTGTACACACACTCCCGAATAATAATTATGTATAATAAATTATATTATACTCGTCATCATCACCGCCGCCGCTGAACGATTACGTTTAATGTGAACGCGTTTTCGATAAAAAAAAATTTGATCATTGTTAAGACCACCGGTGATTACCGCGAGATCGACAGCATGTTATTAGTACTGTAGCATCAACAACAACAATATCACTCATCGAAATAGTTCAGTCGAACCTCGGACACCCAATCGAGCGGTCTCGTATACGAATACGTCCTTATTGCACGCATCAATACAATTATTAATTTACAAGTCAACGTTATGTCCGTGTGACGTGTAACGACAACGGCGGCGGTGATAAATCGATCTTGGCCGGTGAAGTGCAACACCTACAACACGTCTTGTAGTGCAAGCGGGCGATGTCGTTTATGCGCGGCCTGACGGCCCACGTGTCCGTAGAACCGGTGGTGTTTTTCTACTTCGTCGCGATGGTGTTCTCGGGGTGCCTGAGCACCAACCTGCTGCTGTACAAGGCGTGCGACCCGACGGGCGCTATGGCCGCCCGGGTAGGCTCGAAGTGCCAGGACGAGGCGACCGCGCAGCACGTGGTGGCGCCGATCAACGGCTGGAAGGCGCTCGTCCAGCACCTGGTGCCCATCGCGCTGGCCATGGCTGCGGGCACGTGGAGCGACCGGCACAACCGCCGCCGCCGGCCACTGGTCATTCTGCCGATCGCCGGTCAAATATTGGCGGACGCTTTGTCACTGTACTGCACCATCGTGTGGTCGGTGTCGCCGGCAATTACAGCCGCCGCACAGGCCGCCGCGCTGTCACTGACTGGCGGTGCACCGATGCTGTTCAACGGCATCAACTCGTACGTGGCCGACACGACCACGGACGAGTGGCGGACGGTCAAGTACGGCGTGGTCGGCGGCACCATAGCTGTGGGTGGCATACTGGGAATGCTCGTCTACGGGTTCGTGGTCGTCAACGTGGGCTTCGCCTCCGCATACGTGGTGTCCATCGTCCTGGGCCTGACCGCGCTCGCCCTCACGTTCGTATTCATCGACGACGGCGACAGTGTCCTGCGCCGGGAGTCAAGCACCGCCGACCAGCTTCCGTTGTACCAGGACGTTGTCCGGGCCGTCAACCCCTTGGATGTGCTTCTCAACTGTTACCGCGTCCTGGCCAAGCCTCGTCCTGGCCACGGCAAGCTGCTCCTGTGCCTAGTCGTGTTCGTGTGCGCGCCGCTCACGTGCGTGCCACTGGAGGGTGAGTTACCCACCATTTATAGCCAACTATAATGTACCTATATAATATGTTTACCTACATAGTTACTCGACATAATATAATATTATGTAGGAGAGGGGTGGATAATTAAGTGCTACGATGGTACGCACCCAGTGGCGTAATCACCAGTGGCATTGGCAGTTGGCACCCCCTGGTATTATGTACTTGGTGTAATGATAATATTATGCTTTTACACCTGCAGAAGCTGAACTATAAATTATAATCTTATTAAAATTCAATGCCATTACATTGATTTGTTTATTTTTTTTTATAAATGATAACACAATTGAACAATTAATAATAAAACAACGTTATGTAATAATATAGCTATCACTTACCTATCTATTATTTATAGCCCGATAGCCGTTGTCACTATCATAGTTACGGTGGCGAAACGAACCTAAAATAGCCAATAAGCACCTAAATTTGACCCACCCACGCACCGGCAATTTATAATAAACATAAATACTACTAGTATTACTATATAATTACCATTTTATATAATTATTAATTAGCAATAATATTGTTTTTCACTTTCATATTGAGCACCCACCGACGACCGACCCACCCCTAAATATTAAAGAAAATTAAGAAGCAAGCACTATGATTCATAAACTTAGTCAAGACATTTTCCAAAATAACATTTTTATTATGTATAATTTATATACACACCATTGAACTATATATTATAATAACATTAATATATATAGTTCAATGATACAGGCATAGATACAGTGTTAAAATAGTATAAGAGGCTTTGTATTTGGTAATGTTATACACATAAAAAAGGTGGGCAAGTGGTGTCGATCTGCTGACAGTAGGTGACATTGGGTCTTGTATGATGGTATTAAATTTGAATCAATGATAATAACATTGATAAGAAAAATCAGAGCGTGATGGTTGTCAGTCTTTTCAGGCTATTTATACATTCAGGTATAACAAAAAATTGACCTTAATAGCCAATAGGCTTAATAAATCAAATGCATATTCACAATAATTAGTACTTATAACGTTATACATCAACAAAAACCGTGATACTATCATAGATATATAATAGTACACTTTAGAAGTTTCAAGTACCCACGAATAGTATTATTCAATCACAACAAAATAACTAAAATCGTAATTCTTGGTTTAAATATGAAATTTTGTCTAAATTTGAAATTAAAATGTCTGTAAAAAATAAGTGTGTTTATATATTTTTTAGATTTTTTGGTTACAGTATGAACTATTTAAGAGAATCTTTGTTTTAAATTTTCAACTCTTAGTTATAAAAACTGAACATTTTATAATTTTTTAATTCCAACGTTTGATAATTTTCGAGATTTTGATAAATTTTGTCAAAATTCCAACTTAAAATGATTATAAAAAAAAACTGTGCCTATGTATTTTTAATATTTTTCAACTGATATTGTAACAATATATCAGGAGCCTCGTATTAAATTTTTACACTTTTTGGCCCAACAGATAAAACTTTATTGATATTTATAGAAAAAAAAACTAAAAAAAATTGAAAGCTGTAAATGTCCATAAACAGCTCAAAAAGAGTCAAAATATTTTCAAAATTGTATGGTGTATAGAAAATGCTAATTTAAACATTCAGTGAAATTTTCATGTATCTACAGTTGTTCGTTTTTGAATTGCAACAAAATAAGGAAATCGCTACATGAGTAATCGAGTGAAAATCCAATGTTGTAAAAATTTGAATTTCAAACGCTCATTAAAATTTAATTTGCCTGTCCGGTAGAGATTTTTTTATTGATAAAGGTAGATAATCTTATAAGGAATCTTGTGTTTCATTTTCAAATCTTAGATTTAAAAAAAAAATTTTTACGAATTCTTAACTCAAAATAATTTGCTAATTTTCGTGATTTTTCCATATTTTGTCAATTTTTGAACTTTAAATGCTTATAAAAAAAATTGTGACTAAGGATTTTTAATATTTTTCATCTGCCTTTGAAACAACATATTAGGAGCCTTCTATTAAATTTTCAAGCTTTCGCAACCAATAAATAAAATTTTATTGATATTTTTAGAAAAAAAACTAAAAAAAAATGGAAAATGAAAATGTCCCTAAACAGTTCAAAATAAATCAAAATATTTTGAAAATGTTATCGTGTATAGAAAATGCAAATATAAACAACCAGTGAAAATTTCATGTATATACGTTCATTTGTTTTAGAGTTACACCAATAACCAAAATCGATTTTTTGGAAAACCAATTTTGCGTAAAATTTCCCGTTTTTCCTTAATTTTTATGTTGTTTTTCCCGGCGCTTGTGAAAACTACTGGGAAATTTATACTTTTGACCCCCCAAAGTACCAACTAGATACACTTTCCTATCAGAAAAGCTACTGTTGGAGAAAATCCAAGCACTTTTACTGTCCTAAAACGTGATGACAGACACAAAAATATAAATAAAAATATAAAAAAAAACATACATCATTGTAAAACCAATACATTCATCGCTCCGCTCAGAATCTAAAAGTTAGTACTCGAGCAAAAGCGATTGGCTTTAACATTTAAATATGACTTAATTTGTTTTATGATTATTGCATCAATAAAAGATTTGCACCAGCTGAAATTTAATGGTATTACGCCAATGAACGTACCAAATTATCATAGTCAGTATTTGAACAAATAGTTTTTTTTCGAGCGCAATTTGTTTAAGGTTAAGACTTGATTGATATTTGATTATGGCTTAATAAATACTATGCCTATTGCCTAGTAATAATTAGTTTAATATTGTATATAGCTGGCTATAATAAAAGTATTACCTAATAAGTAATATTATTAGAGTACACTCTATACAGGTTAAACGTTTCGTGATCTAAAATTGTACCTATCTAAGTTTGTTTAAACATTAAACTATTATAGTTGAATCCTAAATAACAGCTGTACGTTGTCATCTTTACTAAATGTATTCTGCCTCAAAATTAAAAATGAAATGTTAATTTTTAAAATTTAAAAATCCAAAATATAAGTAGGTAGGTGGGTACTCCGTCAAACTTAAAAACCAAAATAATTATAATAATTTAGTATAATATATTTTCTAATTGCTTATTAAATATACGTGTACAAGGTTACTTATATATTTATCTTATATAAACAACAGGTGTAAACCAAATAAATATAACGAAATATCCCATAAAGCATAATATTAGGTACCTATAACATATTTTACCTAATTTTTTTACATTTGACAACATAACATTGGAATGCAATAATGCATCTATCTATACATGCTCAAAAGGTCAGAATAGAACTACATAGTACATACTATAATAGTATAATACAATACAATGGTTTATAAGTGATCACTGATCAGTGATCATATTTTTGGATTAGTGCCATAGGTCATTCATTACTCTCACTCCACCTAGTCTAACTATAATTGCACATCACATTTTCTTTTTGTATGATACGTATTACGTAACTACATGAATACCAATATATTGTAAATTTTTCTATTTTAATAAAACGAAAATCCGCTGCCGAGTGCCTACGGCCTACCCATAAATGTTAACCTCCTCACTCCTATCACTTACCAATTAACTATCAAATGTAGTTACTTGTTATACTTGTTGTAACAGTATAGATTATAAATAATTTTAATAAGACATTTTTTAAAAAAACTAGAGAGCTCGCTCTGCTATACAGGGTGATTATTTTATCATGAAACACTCATTATTTAAAAAAATATTAATGTTTTTGAAAATATTTTTTTACATAGTTTCAAGATGTTAAAAAAACAAAGTTACTAAGTTAATACTTCGTCATTAAGTACTAAGTAGGATAGTCTAGCTCTATGAATAAAGCACGGAGTGTTAAATATGAATTCCACCATAAATCATTGATACGAAAAATCAATTTTGGATGAAGAGAGTCTGTCAGTCTCATTTCTAAGAATATTTTATTATTCATGTTATATCTAGACAAATGTTAATATAAATATAAAACTATTATAATATATAACAATAATATAATATAAATAAAATCTAAACATCAACAGTCGTTTATTTTTTAATCGCTACAAAAAAAAATTTGTCAAAATAAGTTTTGCGGAAAAAAATGTCTGTTGTCCCGATAACTTTGAAAAGTATTGGCAAATTTTACTTTGCTTACACGAAGTACCGACCAGATTAAATTTTAAATTTAAATAAAATTGAAAATTGACGCATTTTTAGTACCATAAGTTCATGAAACCAATACATTCATCGCTCAGCGATCTAAAGGAATGATAAATCTATTATAAACATAAATTAGAATGTCATAAAATGATACATTTAAATTTGAAACAAAGTGTATATAATCTATGCTTCATTTAACTTGCTGTATACTGATAAGTAGTATAAAATATATTTTATGGCTTTTAAATGTGTGTTAGTTGTTGCTATTCATATATATTGCCTACTTACTTACTTACTTATAATAGTTACATAACACGGCTACATTTTATCGGAGAATAATATAATATATAGTGCAGCCACGGCCCATTCATTCATCTTATCTTATTTAAATATGTCCATTGCTCATACACTAATTAATAATAATAAATAATTAATTTGATATTGATAAATAATAAATATACATCAACATATAAGTTATAACGATAAGTATTTGATCGCTTTACAAGGACTAAAATTATGTACGAGTTATCTTTAAAAAAATTTAAAAACTCAGGTAGACAATTTATTATTATACGATATACATTATTAATATAATATTATATTATACGCTGATACGTGTGTCTAAGCAAAGGACATTTCGATGAGTCATAAAAAATAAAATTAATTCAATAAAAACCAATATGTAGAGGCATCTCGTTTAAGTTAAGATCGTTTTGAAAGATTGTCCGTATAGTTTTACAAGATGGGTGAAACTTTCGATCAAAAATGTACTACATAAAACTTTTGACATTAATTCACTTAATTTACACATTATATTAGGTATAGACTAAAGGTATGCCTTGAGGAAATAACCCGATCTACAATTTATTAATTATAAATCAATTATGATACGTCCTATATGCAAATATAAATTATAATTATGAAAAATATATAGGTACATTGATAATGTTCCTACTAAATTCCTTTGATTTTAATTAGATTTATGTTTAAAGTCTAAGTATATAAAGGTAATAGTTATTTTCATTGTGAAACGGTGAATGGTGATATGTAATTAGATTGATAATATTTAACACGTCCGTACCATTCGGTATAATATAATATTAGGATTTAGGTGCCATGTGATTGATTTTCTTATTGATATTCTGACAGGCATTTATAAATTAAATTAAATAGGTAACTAATACGAAAAGTTATACGAATTATTTGTATACAACATAAACTACTGTAGTTTTATTTGTTTATCCAATACATTTGATCAAAGATGAATTTTTAAAGATGTTGACAAAAAACTAAAACAGAATCAATAAGGTTTTATTGTTTATCAATGTTCTTTGATTACAATATAATTGTATATTGTTCAATAATTTATTATGAAAGACAATAAATCGTTTAAAATTATCAACACCTATAAAACATTTTGACATCTTGTAAAATTCAAGAACTACAGATTGTAACAAATATGACGTCATTACGATTTGGCTAGTCTCATAAATTATTATCGTTGTTATTTATTCGTGTATAAAAACATTATTGTTAAAATAATATTTTATATACTGTCATTAAATCAAATTAGTAAATATAGTTGTTTATATAAAACTAATTATAGATATTAGATATTGAATTATAATGAAAACTAAAAATATGATATTGTTCCTCTTCTGCTTTATGTAGCCTTACAACTCTGTAAGAGTTTTAGCCGCCACCGTCACCGACCTCCAATATTCACGATTGTGGATTTTTTCCTCCTATTCAGTTGCATCTAGATTCTCTAAATCTGGACGCAATCCGTCAATTCATCGTTTGTTAGGCCTACCTCTTGGTATACCCTTCCTGTTGGTTTGTACTCAAATGCTGCCTTAGCTCCATATAGGTTTCTTCTCTTCTCGTCTTCTGTCCAAGCCACTCGATTCTTTGTCACTTCGAGTGGCTTGTTATATATGGCACTTTAGTGATTCCCTTTATTTCCGCGTTTTTCCTTCTTCTCCATCCATTTATTGTATTGTCAAACACGGGGCCAAATATTTTTCTTAGCACTTTGTTCCCAAAACTTCTAATTTCCGTTCAGTTTGCACTGTCATCGGACAAACTTCACAACCATATAGGTTAATGTTTGTTTTATAATAGACATATACATGGGTTTTTTGCCTCTAGAGAATAGTTGTGATTTGAAATATTTAATCAGTGAAAATAAAGCTCTTTGCGCATTGAGTATACCTACGACTGGATATTTCAGCTTTCCAGTCGTTGTTGCTAGTGATTGTAACTCCTAAATACTTAAAACTTTGGGTATTCTCAAACAGGTAGTAAAAATATGATGTTACAAATTAATAATTAAGAAACATATTTACCATTTGTTTCTTAAACATATAAAATTACAATAGGTACTTAAATAAATAAAAAAATATCTAACGAACATATTATTATATTTGTTCAGCGTTGTAGGTACATGATTATAAAAAACTTATTTTAATACTTATTGTTTGGAAATATAAGTACCTATATAATAAATCTAATAATACAAACAAATTATATTTTAAGGTGAAATGTCAGTATTATATCTATATTTGAGGTATAAATTTCAATGGAATGAAGTAGACTTTAGTATTTTCAATGCTTACCAGATGTCCGTCGTATTAATAGGTAAGATTAAGTTATAATAATAATTAACAAATAATATCTAGATACCTAGTACTTAAAAACTGTAAATCTAATAATTACCGATCTGTATATTATAACAATATATCGATATTTACCATATTTTATTGTAGTTTAATTTGTAAACAACAATAACAAATATAACAAATTATCGCTATTGTTTATATACTATGAGCACTATAATAAATTATAAATATTTTATTTACAATATAATTTGTTTTTACAGGCACATTGTTTGCACTAGGAATTTTAAGCTACAAGTTTCGAATGAACGATGCGTTAATTGGTACGATTGCTTCGGTATTTGATCTTTTAGCTGCGGTAGCTTTCTTTTTGGTTTCCCAATCATGGCAACTATTTTTAGGTAAGTATTACCGCAAAAAATCGCAATGTTGGAACGACTGTGTTAAAATAATAATTTGTAATTTTACAGTGCCACCGTTAGAACTCTTTAGGGGTGCAGCTTTGGCGTTAACTAGTTCTATAGCTTCAAAATGCGTTGGATCTGATGAATTAGGTGATTATATAATAACTAATGAAATTAACTACATTAGACATGTTTACGATCTCCAGTAGTTCAACTTTAACACAGTTTTTTTTATGTATACGTTGCACCAGGTGCTATGAATTCAGTGAAATTATTAATGGAAAGTGCGATGAAAAGTGGATTTCTACCATTATACAATTTTATTTACAACCATACATTTGAATCGATGCCTAGCGCATTTTTTATAATCAGTATTGTCCTAACAACTCCGCTCATTTTCGTTTTTTAGTAAGTATCTATATTCTATACCTATTTATATTCAATATTGTTTTATCTGTTTATTCAGTTTTTTTTATAAATTATGTGTGATGCAATAGGTATCCTACCTACGTATAGGTTAAACTATGTTAAACTCGGGATATCTCTGTACATGCGATTATCAATTATGTACCTAATTAAATAATTTTTATGATAATGATGGCTTTACTATATATTTTTTGTTTACTTTTCAGTTTGATATATTACTTAAACAGAAACCAAAAATCGTACACTGTTGACGGCGTCCATGGTGAAAATAAAAAACAAAATAACGAAATCTCACCAATCAACGACCGCAACGTAATTAGTTACCATATTTAGTGGGATATTACTTATAACAATAACAAAACGTTTGTAAGACTTATTATGTTTAACATTTTAATATAGGTATATAATAACATAATAATAATAATAAAGTTATTCAATTTCTTAATTTAACTTATGTTCTCTTAAGAAAATTATCACTTATTGTTCATGTATACACTATGTAAATATTATCATATTATATTATGTTAGAATATTATCAAAAATCAAATATTTAAATAATTGTAATTCATATATTATATTTATTAGAAATAATATATAAAATATTTAACTTATATCAATATATGTATATTATAGGCACCTAGTTTCTAAATTAAAAAACATCAGTCGGACAACCGTTTACAGATCTAGATTTGTATTTTGTACTTCATATGGTACAATATTTCAGCACTTGTTGTTTTATGATAACTGATAACTGAAAAGTAATAGAAAAAAAATGTTTATCCAGATAAAAATTGCTGATTTATATCATAGACATTAATATTATACGATGACCTACGATTGTACATTGTATATTTTATCTTTATCAAGATAATTATTCTACCAATCAATTATCTCTTATATCTTTATAGTTTATATAGATATTTTAAAATAAATATTAATTATAAGTACAATGCTGTCAGCTGTCAGTGAGCAAACAATTTTTTTTTTAATTTATTATATAATAAAAACGTATTTGATATTGTCATCTAGCGGCTTAAAATGCAACAGTCACGGTCAACAACACGGCGATAGATAGCACTGCCATCATCGTTTCAATATTACCACTCACCACTTACCACTCACTCAAAAATACTCCGCCAACAATAATCGGACTAAATTGGTATTAAATATAATATTATATTATAATTAAATATCATCTGGACCAATGACCATGAACGTAACACGGATGGAATCTTTAGAAACTATAGTCATCACTCCAAAGTACTATAATCCCACTTCACATTTCCACTTTTATCAAGCTTTAACTTATGTGTTTAATTCATTAATATTTTCTTGATACTTTATATTCAGTGCCAACAAATAATAATTTTTATATACAGGTACTATATAATGATTACATATACCTACTTTATTATTATTCGAATAACAATTAGTTAGGTATCTACTTGGATGTACCTATTGGCTATTGGCTATTATTAATTCTCTAAACGACACCTAATGTACAGCAGAGTGTAACTAACTTAGCCGCTTTTTTGAAATTTCAAAGTTTATAAACACAATTCACAGCAAGGATCGTATATAAAATATTGTTGGTAATGGTCAATGAACACGATGTAGATAAAACTACGAGTGTAGTCATTCAGTGTCGAAAAGTAAGTAGTCATTTAACAGCATTTAGCTCAGGTTATAGGTCCACCAGGACCGCTAAAAGGCCTATTATTTATATTTATATACAGTAGCATACGCACGATTTTAGTTCGGTTAGGGTTTCACCTGTGTAAATAATTTACATTATTTTTTTCTAAATAGTTTTTATGTAATTGGTTATAACAAATTATAATTAGTCTCAAATGTAGTCTACATTAAGAGGTGATACATGGATGATACACCATACGACGGTTATGACAAATGCTTAGCAATGTTCTAAATCAGCCAAAAAACTGAGACTATTATTATCGACGTCTTTGTCATATTTAACAATTAATATTATATCTATTAAAAATGACCAACAATTGATCGACTTTGTGTATTTAAATGGTTTTATTTTTTTGTCAACGGAAGAAATTTCAGGGGGGGGGGTCAGAACCCTAGAACCCTACCCCTGCGTACGCCACTGTTTATAATATACACTAATTTAAAGCTGAAATGTGTACATATTATAGATTTAAATCACGATATTTTTTTTGTGCTCAGATACTCCCTTGCCTAGTCAATTTTGACATTTCATAAATTTAACTTACCGTTCCTGTAAGCTTCCCAGCCAAGTTATAACGTTTGTGGAATATCCGTCAACCACAAAAATAAAAAAACACATAAAATACATACGTATTTCCAAATATCGAGCAACAGCTGATCTCACCACCCCCTTGATAAAAAAAAAATTCACTTTTTCAAAAAATTGTTCGTTTGAAAGCAATTATGACATTTACATGAATTTACAATTCCATTTTAGAAATTCGCACAACACCCTTTCCCCTCAAAATCAAAATTACATATTTACATACCTACCTACATGGCATATTATGAAACAAGACTTTCAATCTCTTTCCTAGTAAATATTGACATTTTGGAAATTTACAGACGCTTGCACTACCTATACACGTATAGTATAACATTTTTTATTTTTATTTTTTAAGAGGACATTGTACCCGCATGTGTTGTATCTGTCACATGTACAACATAGCAATTTTTTGTTCACCAGTTTCAATAATGACATAGTGTGCTACTGTGCTGCTAATTTTAATGTTAGAGCAGGGGTGGGACGTTTTTAGAGCAGGAACGAACCAAGGAGACGGTGAGCCGCTGTCCTCGGCTGGGTTTCAGTCCGGTTATCGCATGGGACATCGGTACATATAAAGTATAAATATAGTAATAAGACATGAACATAATAGGTTTATATATTTATATAGCTATGGCCCATCAGACGTTGTCCAGGCCTAAGATTTGTATTTTTAATAAATATATTTTTACAAATTTCATATACCATATTTCTTCTAATATTATAATACTAATATATATAATAATATATTGTAACCAATCGCAACCATCATGACTCAGGTCAGTTTAGGGCCGCTGTTATATCTGTGGACTGTGATAATAGACCGGAACCTACACAGTCCAGCCCTGTATTAAGTGAATTGATCTATTTTTCAAACTTATAGGTAAGAACATTATCGGTGTTTTCTCATTGCTTTTTTTACGATATTTTAATTTTTAAGTGAGGTGTGTAAAATATATGATGAGCGAAGACAGTATGTCAGCCTTATTAGTTATTACTAATAGTATATTAGATGATATTATTGTGATTAAAATAATTTATTTTACTATTGTCTATTAGACATTAGTACAGTAGTATAGACTGAATTCATTTTTGCCAAAAAAAGTACACTTGAAAATGTCATTGTGTGTATAAAATATATAATAATATACTCTAAACGTTTCATATAATATTTTTAAATGACAAAAAAAATTACTAAAATCGTTATTCTTGATTTGATTTGTAATTTCATCCAAATTTGTGCTTAAAATGTCTGTAAAAAATAACTTTGTTTACATATTGTTTTTTTACATATTTTGGTTACAGTATAAACTATTTATGAGAATAAAATTCTTATTTAAAATGTTCAACCCTTAACTATAGAAATTGAACATTTAATAATTTATTAACTACAAAATAATATTTGAAAATGTTTGAGGTTTTGATAAATTTTGTCAAAATCTGAACTTTAAAAACTTATAAAAAAAAAAAAACGTTCCTAGGTATGGGAATTTTTTTATTTGACCCTCTCGAAATACCAACTAGATTAACTTTCCTACCAGAAAAGATGCTGTTGAAGGAAATCGAAGTATTGTTACAATATTACTGTCCCAAAAGCAAAAGGTGATGAAAGACATAAATAAAAAAAAATGTTTAAAAAAACACATAATTACATAAATGTAAAATTAATACTATAACAATACACATGGTACAGGTATCTACTATGTACAGGTCACAACTCATCAATAAATTATCTATAAATTAAAATAAAAAAAGATGGGCAAGTGGGTGTCGCTCTGCTGTACAGTAGGTTACAAGTGGGTCACTGTATAATGGATGGTATTAAATTTGAATTCAATTATATAATATCATTGTATAAGAAAAACGATTCTGAGCGGAGACGGTATGTCCTTCTAGGTATAAGACATATTATATACATATTTATGGTATTAAACAAAAAATTGACCTATAATAGGTACCTATAATAAATTCCAAATTAATCATATCACAATATCCATTAGATACTTATAACGCGTTATACATCAACAAAAACCGTGATACTATCATAGATATATAATAGTACACTTTAGAAGTTTCAAGTACCCACGAATAATATTATTCAATCACAACAAAATAACTAAAATAGTTATTCTAGGTTTTTTAATATGTAATTTCGTCCAAATTTGAATTTAAAATGTCTGTAAAAAATAAGTGTGTTCATATATTTTTTAGATTTTTTGGTTATAGTATGAACTATTTATGAGAACCTTTGTGTTGAATTTGTAATCCTTAGCTATAAAAACTGAACATTTTATAATTTATTAATTACAATGATTGATAATTTTCGAGATTTTGATAAATTTTGTCAAAATTTGATCTTTAAATGCTTATAAAAAAAAACTGTGCCTATGTATTTTTAATATTTTTCAACTGCTATTGTAACAATATATCAGGAGCCTTGTATTAAATTTTTACACTTTTTGGCCCAACAGATAAAACTTTATTGATATTTATAGAAAAAAAAAACTAAAAAAAATTGAAAGCTGTAAATGTCCATAAACAGCTCAAAAAGAGTCAAAATATTTTCAAAATTGTATGGTGTATAGAAAATGCTAATTTAAACATTCAGTGAAATTTTCATGTATCTACAGTTGTTCGTTTTTGAATTACAACAAAATAAGGAAATCGCTACATGAGTAATCGAGTGAAAATCCAATGTTGTAAAAATTTGAATTTCAAACGCTCATAAAAATTTAATTTGACTGTCCGGTAGAGATTTTTTTATTGATAAAGGTAGATAATCTTATAAGAAATCTTGTGTTTTATTTTCAAATCTTAGATTTAAAAAGAAAAATTTTTACGAATTCTTAACTCAAAATAATTTGCTAATTTTCGTGATTTTTCCATATTTTGTCAATTTTTGAACTTTAAATGCTTATAAAAAAAAATTGTGACTAAGGATTTTTAATATTTTTCATCTGCCTTTGAAACAACATATTAGGAGCCTTCTATTAAATTTTCAAGCTTTCGCAACCAACAAATAAAATTTTATTGATATTTTTAGAAAAAAAACTAAAAAAAAATGGAAAATGAAAATGTCCCTAAACAGTTCAAAATAAATCAAAATATTTTGAAAATGTTATCGTGTATAGAAAATGCATATATAAACAACCAATGAAAATTTCATGTATCTACGGTCATTTGTTTTAATGTTACACCAAAAACCAAATTCGATTTTTTGGAAAATCGATTTTGCGTAAAAATTCCCGTTTTTCCTTAATTTTTATGTTGTTTTTCCCGGCGCTTGTGAAAACTACTGGAAAATGTTTACTTTTGACCCCCCAAAGTACCAACTAGATTCACTTTCCTATCAGAGAAGGTACTATTGAAGAAAATCGAAGCACTTTTACTGTCCCAAAACGTGATGACAGACACAAAAATATAAAAATATAAAAATATAAAAAAAAACACACATCATTGTAAAACCAATACATTCATCGCTCCGCTCAGAATCTAAAATACTGAGAACAAAATAGTATATTATATTATAGATATCAAATATATCTTTCGAACAAAAGTTATTTCATTAATTTTCAGGTCTTCACTCTGTACATCAATTTTGCAACATTTTACAAATATTCATTTTGTTTTATTTAAAAATAACAAAATATATTTTTAAATAAAACAAAATGAATATTTGTAAAATGTTGCAAAATCGATTTTGATACCAGGGCCCCATGAAAATAGTTGTCATGAAGCCACCGACGTCGCGTAGGTAAACAAGCGACGAAACATTGTAAAATCAATTGTGTTTTGAAGCCATGAAGGCCACACGAACGATTCCGTATAGACTATAAACTCTAATAGTCTATAATAGACTATACATATTTTAATCTGCATAACATTTTGAGAATTTAACAGTATACAGTAAATATTAATATACGAAATGATAATATCTTCGATTAAAGTTTTTTGAATTACCTACAACAAAATAGGTATAAAACACGAGTATAAACTATAAACAATAGGTTTTTGTCCATCATCAAATATTTAGAAAAAAACCCTTTTACATCTTCTTTATCGTTATTACATCTCACTTTTAGATTCTGAGCGGAGCTAGGATCTATAGTGGTTTTACAATGGTGTTTATTTTTTTTTGTTTTTTCTATCATGTATACGAAATTTCTACCAGAAGGAGTGCTTCAGTTTCAACATATAGTACCTATCTTATCTTTTAGCAAATTAGATCAAGATCAGGGGCGGACCCAGAGGGGGGGGGGGAGTTTGGGAGGTCAGCCGACCCACAGTTGTTTTCCCAGTTAAATGTGGCCCCTCGAAATGACAAACTATATAAACAGTTTTTTATTTGAAAAAATTATGTACAGTGGTGAATTTAGAGGAGGGGCACGTGCCCCTTGTCAATTTTCTGTCGACAAGTTGTTATGTAACTACGACTTACGAGTATCATATAAATGAAACATTCAGTTGATAAGGATAATACTACCAAGTACCAACTATTAATTATTACTTATTATAATCATTATTGGTAGTACCTATGTATGTATTATTAATTAAAATTAAAATTATACAATTTATATATGCTCCCCCCCAACAGTGGCCTCTCGTAAGTAAGGCAGACCACAGTTTTAAAATCTTGGGTAAGCCACTGATCAAGATGGTACTTTTAAGTCATTTTTCAATTTTCTCAATACCTAGTTATTTAATGCCACGGGGAAAACCACCGATAAATTACAAAAAACCGCTAAAAATGGGATTTTAATTTCTAACGCTTTGTTTATCTGCATAGAAACAAATAAAAATAAAAATGACGATTTTAGTTATTTTGTTGTAGTTTATAATATTAATTCAACATACAGGCCATAATAAAATATAATAACAATATAAAATATCCAGACTGACAAACTGTCTCCGCTCGGAATCGTTTTTGTATACAACATCACAATGATATGATATGATTGAATTCAAATTTAATACTATCCATTATACAATGACAAACTTGTAACCTATTCTTACATTGTTTTCGATTCAAACTAGAAACACATTGATGATTGATTAAAAGCTCTGAATTCTTTGCGTGTGGTTTTGATTTTAGTTTGCGAAAAACAAACAATAACAACTAGGTAGGTACCTATAACTCTTATACTACCCATTGATAACCATTTTTAATGTTTATGACCAAAAATACTTCTATATCATAATAATAATATATTCTAAAATATGTAATTAGTTAGTTAGTACCTATGTTAATACAGTACCTATGTAGGTCGTACGTCGGGTGTAAAATGTACATATACGATCCGGTCGGTGTACCTAATCCTAATGTTATATTATGTAGTTAACCATGTCAAATTTAAAGGGAAATCAACCCAGTGGAACAAAATAAACAAACGTCTCTCTTAAGGTATTAAATGTATTATATTATTTGCATGTCGTACCCACGAGTTATAATAATATTTTATACGAGTCTCGAGTACGGCGGGATATTTCAGTCGGTATTTCGTTCCGGGCCATCTGGTAGCAATGAGCCGTCTCGGTGCATGTGCGAATGTGAAAACCGCGGGAAAATCTGACTTTATCATCGGGCATTTGTTTACAATGTTTACATTAACTATTTTTTTTTCTTCGTTAGAGTCTTACGTCGCCGCTCGTCGACTGTTATACCGCACCATTTCCACTGCGAATTTGACCGGACGCAATTTTTTACCATCGTTGTTATTCCTCCACAGTTCGTATTCTTTTCTCTGCGTTTCGTGACGCCTACAGGACGTACGACGTTTGTCCACCGACTTCCCGTCCGACTGTCCGATTTTGGACGACGTCATCCAAGTGCGCTGCAAATACCAGATTTTCGGTACTTCCTGTGCCTATCCCCATACCCCACGGCGGCCAACGAGACATGCAGGTATGATGTTTTGTGCACGATATAGGAATAATTTATTATTCTCAATTAATATTTATATATTTTATACATGACATTATAATATATTAAAATAAATATCCATTTGCCTACCTTTATGTATGGTTGTGTGTGTGTGTGTGTGTGTGTGTGTGTGTGTGTGTGAGCGCGCGCGCGTGTGTCACTTCTTGTGAAATTTGTTTTGCAGAGCGCCGTGAAGAGTAGACAGTTTGTGAAAGAAGGTCCCACGAAAAATGTCAGCATCAACGTCAACTATGACAAGCTGGAGCAGATTGGCGAAGGGACGTATGGAGTCGTGTACAAAGCATTAGACAAGCAGACTGGCAAGTTTGTCGCTCTGAAAAAAGTCAGGATGGAATCGTAAGTTTTTTTTTTGATAACTGCTTGGTTAGACTTAGTTGTTATTCTTGCCAGAAATTCAAGTCGCCATGGTGCACTTGGCCATGTGTCATAATATCTCCGTCAGTCTCAAGATAATTTTTTCCACTTGACTGTTTGTACCATCTTTGTGTAACGTGGTACCTACGTTGTAATAAACTAACCTTTCATGGATTGTACAGAAGTGCAGAAGGTGTACCTTCGACAGCCATGAGAGAGATTTCATTGTTGAAGGAAATAAACCATGAAAATGTCGTTAAACTCTATGATGTCATTATGTCTGACAAGAAATTGTTTTTAGTATTTGAATTTATGGACTATGATTTAAAAAAAGTATTAGAATTGCGCAGAAAAGAATTTGGATTCGGATTACCTGAACCTCAAATCAAGGTGAGATTAACTTAATTAATATAATTATAGATACTATCATAATGTAACACCATCATCCTCATTTAATAGATATGTTATTAATAGTTTTTGTTCAATTTATAATTACATATTATTAAAAAATAAATATTTTTGCTTGGACTTAATGAAAAACAAAATTAGATAAGAAGTATTTTTGTGTACTTTATTTAAGAATTTAAATTCTTAATTTTTTAATTTTTAATTTATTGAAAATGTCATAGGTAGGTAGGTACTTTAAGTTCACTATTAAACACATTTTATTCTTAAATATTGATTTATGATATGCATTTTATATAATACTTACATACAGGTACATAGTACATACTTACAATAGGCACATACATAGCAATATCATAAGAAGAATTTTTCCACAACAGTAAAACACTTACCTACTATTTATATTTAAAAACAGAAGACTGTAATATTATAAATATGGTTTATTGATTTTAGAATGATGTGCATATTTTTTTTTATGTCTGATGACACTTTTATAGTAGAAAAAATAATTTGATTTTAAACTTTAAGGGGGCATCTGGTAGCATAATGGATCAAGTTTGTAATTGTACTTTGATGGAATCAAAAGTAAACAATTTCAATAACAGTATTTTCAAAATATTTGAGAATTCAAAAAAAAAATTACAAACTTGTTAAAATATTCATATTTTTACTAAAATAATTGTTTAATAACTTTGGTTACCAAAAAGTTAGACCGCCTTCACTCAGAATCATTTTTCATTGTACACAATAATTTATCATTGAATTAAAATTTAACATGTCCATTACAGTGCTTACTCAATAACAAGGTATACTCAACTTATGTATTGCAGTGCAACTTATCTACTTTTTTTTTATTTGTAAATAGATTTACTAAGAAAAAAATTTTTATTAGTTTTTAAATAACGTAGATTTTATTGGAATATTAAAATTATTTTGCATTTGTATTAGCCTAAGAAAATAATAATTTCACAATTTGAGAATTATCCATTAAATTATTATCTATTAAAATTAAAAATATTTTATCCTGACAACTACCTTTTTTTCTTCCCTCCCCCCATTAAAACCAATAACAACAGCGGGATTGTTTTCAGAGTTCTTCCCTATTGGCTATTACTCCTGACCATAAGTACTTACATTAAAACCTCTTGACAATTTTATTCATTAATTTATACAGATTTTTTTAAATTTTTTTATTGTATTCTTAATATACTTACTTGCTCAAGCTCAAGTATCACTTAAGTATAGTTAAATTGTTATTAGTTAATACATCATTAAACTTACTTACAACTTACTATTCTTGACAAATTTATTTTATAAAGTATTTATGATAACTTTTCATTAATTTTATTTTATTTTAACCTTATTTGCTTATATTTAATATTTTTATTTACAAATTTTTTTAAATTTCAGAGTTACTTATACCAAATACTGAATGCATTAGCGTATTGTCATATTCATCGCATAATTCATCGAGATCTGAAGCCACAAAACCTTTTAGTAAATACTGCTGGTGGTATAATCAAATTGGCAGACTTTGGATTAGCTAGAGCATTTTCATTTCCCCTGCGTAACTATACACATGAAGTTATTACTTTATGGTATAGAGCTCCTGAAATATTGTTAGGAGCTAAGGTATACACCATGGCTGTAGATCTCTGGAGCCTTGGGTGTATATTCACAGAAATGGTGAGTTTTTAAAGTACATTTAACTTTTATACAAAAGTTATTAAAAAAAAATGTATAAAGAATAATAAACACAATACTTTATTCAAACTTTATGTTTTTTTTGTGTTGTTTTATTTAAATAGATGACTTTAAGGCCATTATTTCCGGGTGATTCAGAAATTGACCAGTTATTTAGAATCTTTCGGACTCTTGGAACTCCGACAGATGTCACATGGCCTGGAGTAGATCAATTACCAGATTTTAAACCATTATTCCCACTATGGGAAGCACGTCTTATTGAAGAATTCTTACCTGAACTCTCTGATAAAAATCAACAAAATGTTTTTTATGTGAGTAAGAGTGTTTATTAACAGAATAATAAAAACACTAACAATATTATATAAAATTAAAATCAAAACAAAAATAACTACGGACACATAAAAATTAAAAATATGTGCTAGTTGAGTAATGAAATGAATGTTATAAACATATTATTATTCATTTAATTTTATACCTGTAGGTATAATAGTGGTTTAAATTTTAATAATGATGTTATTTTAATTATTAATCCATACCATGTGTTAAGAGGACAACACACATTGTTTCCGTTTTACATAATTAAAAATTTTCATGTTGTACGATTGAGACAACAAATGCCCGTGTGGCGTCCTCTTAATCAAGGTACCTTGATTAGTGGTTCTTAAAACATTAATTTTGATCCATTTTAGATATTAAAGATTTATTTGAAAGAATATTATTTGTTCCATTACATTTCTATCATTTATTTTATTAATTTTAAAATATAAGTGGTATCCAATAAAACTGAAATGTTCTGGTTGAAGAAGTAAATAATATAATGGCAAAATCTCTTAATACATAAAATATTTTTTATATTACATATTAGCTATTATTTATTGTAATCGTCTTATAAATAGTAGGTACAAGTGAAACTATGAAAATATTTTATTCAAAATTCTAATATTTATTTTCTATATTACATGTTATATAGAAAATAATGAATGTCATTATATTGGAAAATAATAACAAAATCTCAGATTGTAAATTACCATTACTTAGATTTGAGTAGGTATTTGAAAATAATATTAGTTTTAATCCCAGATTATAAAATACCACATTTTTCAATAATGTGAAAATGAAATCAATAATATAAGCTTATTCTTAGAGATAATTAAATTCAAGTAACAATCATTTTTATATTATAATTAATGTATTTTTCTTTAACAACAGGCAATGTGTACCTACAATCCGGCAAACAGAATGTCGGCTGAAAAAATATTGGAAATGGATTATTTTCATAGTTTAAGACTGGCATCTCTACCGGAAACACCTTAAATAATATCGATAATTTTTAACTTTTTTTTAGTGAGTTATGAATATCTGGTTTATTTTGGAGTGTTGAGTACATTCTAGTAATACCAAATTAAATTTTAAAGTGTAAATAGTTAGTGAAATACTACCATTGACCAAAAGTTAAAATTTAAGTTAATACTATGACTTGCTTTGGGCCAAAAACATGTATAAAAAATAATCGACACGAGTTCAAACCTGTAACAAGATTAATGTATTCATTTTTTTTTCCTTTTTGTTGAAAATTTTACTTTATTATGTACTTTATTTTGTTTTGATTTTTTTTCCCCTTATTAATTTTTGTATAGTTAAATATGCAATTTATCCCATATTTACTCTTGTACTTACTGTATTATATTTTGATTTTGTATCAGTATTTGAATTAGGCCATTTATTAATTATTATTATTCTTATTATCATCACACAAATGTGCATATTGTACCATATATCTAAAACATTAAATTCCAACATCTCAACTATGCTGCTAATAACAGGAACTGTAAATGTAGTAACCTCATGCCACATCTGGAATGTTTTTATGAAAACGTTCTGCACAATAGATGAAAAAATACATAGTTCTTTATACATTTTGAATCTTATCATTTTTTTGTTTTAACTGCCTCTTCGGGTATAACTATATTATTGTGTATTGAAGGTGATCGAATGTATGCTGATCGCCTAGGTCCTCCTTTGCTGTCGTCTGTTGCTATTTTATTGTACAAATCCTCCTCGCTTGTTGGTGTAACGACAATCTTCACATGGCTTTTGGGTCTTTCGTCGGGACTATATAACTTCATACTTAATGGACTTTTCAAACTAGAACTCCTCCGGAGCTATGCAACAATGAAACGCAATAACGACAATATTGTTGTAGTGTTACAAAAAGAGATAATAAAGTTGTATTTTAAATCGATAAAACTTAGTACAAAATGATGCTTTTTACATTAGATTATTATTAATACGTACAAGTACCAGCGAGTGTTTTATGGTAGTGCAAACATATTATTCAGTAATAATCAATATATGATAATATGTGCTCTGGCTTTAATAGAGCCTTATCAAAAGCATTAAATACTATATATTATTATTATATAATGTGTATTTCGAGTATGAAATAGGTACGTAATAACAAAATAACGCTTATGAAGTGATGATGATGGTAGTCTAAATTTCTTGTTCAGCTACATTGCCGGCCTGCGATGATCTCGAACTCTGTAAATAATCATTAAAGCTGTGCAATTTATACAAATATTGTGATGTTCGATACATACGTTTAGTGCTCAATAAAGCCCTCATAACGAGGTGTGAGAATAATTTAATGTAGTGGTTAAAAATACATATAATGAATAATATAAATTAATACTTGTATAATTATAATTATATGTAGAAAAGTAGTGGACAAAGTAACCTACTTAAACTTGTCCTTGATTAAATATAGAAAGTTCTTTTCGATTCTGAGCGGAGCGATTAATAATGTATTGATTTTACAATGATGTGTGTATTTTTTAATTTTTGTGTCTCATCACCTTTTAGGACAGTAAAAGTGCTTAGATTTTCTGGTGACCGGTCAAAATATCTCCAGTACCAAATATCTCCCATGAAAATATTATATTATATTATAATAAAAAATTTATTTTGTACTTGTAATAAATAATAATAATTACATACATATTATGATTACAATAACATATTTTTAAATACTAATGTACTTACTTCGGTAATCACTTTAGTCATCAAATATTTAATGTTTATCTACTTTTAATAATTGTTGTTATAAAAGCATTAATATTAATATAAAATATTTTCATGGGAGATATTTCCATTAAAGATATTTTTAACAGGAAATATTTGGTACTAGAGATATTTTAAATCGAAGATATTTAGACCTGGAACCTTGAAAAATCCATAGTCGCAATTTTTTTTATGAGCTTTTAAAGTTCAAATATTGACAAAATACGTAAAAATTACTAAAATTTGCAAATTATTTTGATTAATTTTTCTTTTTAAATCTAAGATTTGAAAATGTAATACAAGATTCCTCATAAGTTTGTCTACCTTAATCAAAAAAAAAAAAAATGTTTACAAGAAAGTCAAATTGAATTATTATGAGCGTTTGAATTTCATATTTTTACAACATTTGATATTTACTCGATTCTCGTGTAACGATTTTCTTAATATTTTATTGTAATTAAAAAACGAATGAATGTAGATACTTGAAAATTTCACTGAATGTTTATATTAGCATTGTCTATACACCATACATTTTTGAAAATAATTTGACTGAGCTGTTAAGGACATTATCAGTTTTCAATATTTTTAGTTTTTTTTTTCTATAAATATCAATACAATTTTATTTGTTGGGTAAAAAAGAGTGAAAATTTAATGCAAGGCTCCTGATATATTGTTACAATAGCAGTTGAAAAATATTACAAATACATAGGCACAATTTTTTTTATAAGTATTTAAAGTTTAAATTTTGACAACATGTATCACATTTCAAATGTAATACTTATTTTGTAGTTAAAAATTTATAAAATGTTCTACTTTTATAGCTAAGGATTGAAAATTTAAAACAAGATACCGCGTAAATAGGTTATATATATTACTTTATTCACCTTAATGTCATCAAATATACTTAGTAATATCATAGGCTGATCGTTTTGCTTATACAATGATATTATATCATTGAATTCAAATTTAACACCATCCATTACATTGACCCACTTGTAACCTACTCTACAGCAGAGCTACATCCATTTACCTACCTTTTTTTATTACCGATATGCTATACCTACCTATAGGGCTCATAGGTAAACGAATATCATAAATATAGAAAACGCCGTAGTTTCAGTAATTGAACGAATTAATAAGGCACTCCAGATCGGTTTAATATTTTATATAATTTTAAGTACTTTTAATACAAAACTGTTATTTTAATATAACATTTTTTTTATTGTCTTTTGATAGTTAGCATTTTTCTGTAAGTAATCATAGGTGGGTATTTAAATTTGAAAAAGGGGAGTATCTATATGCCAAATATATTGTTTTTCACTAATTCCGCTCATCTAAATATCTATAATAGTAAACAATCATGAAGATAAATAATATTATATTATAATTTTTAAAAATATTAACGTTGGACCACATATTATAATGATAGCCTATATAGTTACCGAATCTGCAGCGTTATAACAATCTCCATAGCTTTAGCTTAAGTGCCTCTACGTATACATTACCTACATACGAACGTTAATAAAATAATAATACAAATAACATAATATATTTTACCTGCGTTTTTGTTGGCGTTCCGATCTGTCCCGCTGTCGTTTGTTTTATGTAACTCTTGTCATCGAATATTTTCACCTCTCCACCACCTGGTCTGTGTTTCATGTTGTCCAACGAGCCGACCTTGCTCTGGGCTTTAATGACGTCCACTTTTTGATCCTCGATCTATATATTCATATAATAGGTACGCGTTTAATAATATTATAGGTATATAATAACAATAATAGATACGTATTTTATATGCGATTCATGTGCACGTAAAACAGGAACAGCGTTGGTACTTTTTTATAGCGCAGCAATCCGTTGTCAATATTATAGTTTTGTTTTATGTGTGTATGTATATATGAACTAAAGATAAAGGTATAATGATATTATACAGTGATTTACCTAGCTTGCTCACCCTAATTGGCCTAATTTTTGTTGAACTTTTATAGCTACCTATTTATTTTTTGTATGTCATACATTTCAACATTAATAACTAATAAAATATATAATACGCGACTAGATAAAAAAAAACTAAGCAAATAAAACAATAGGTAGTTAAAATAGTTGAGATAGTTAATAAATAAGGTACAGGTAAACACTTATTTTGGTAACTTAAAGGATTGAACGCGTTTTAGATTAGGATGTCTAGGGTTGAGATCTAGATGATTGCTTTCGATGTGGCCATGTAGAGATTTTTCGTATGCCCACGCCCCACGTTGAAATATCGCCAAGGGCATTCTTCAACAAAGTGTGAAAGTTTTCTGTTTTCACGTTCGGATGTAGATCTGAATAGCCCCAATTATAGAGCATTTGTCTAATTGTTCCGAATAGCCCATTTTCTGCCTTCAATTGGAACCCTGGTCATCTTATCTTTAGATTACCTATTTGGGTTTCGTTGATTCATCCCCTTATTACTTTCATAATAAGTGTATTCAAGTTCAGGTTTTTGGACGTAAGGTCCAGACTTTCAAAAATTGTATTATATTATTTAAGGGGTGTCCTAACTCCTAAACGTTTTAACTGAAATATTTACTTTATTTTAGCAAAAAACTGGTAGTTGGTAGGTCGTTACTCGTTATAGGTAGGTACATTATATTTCGATTAAGTAGGTACCTCCATTTACGGCATTCACCACATTCACACATTTAGTATAAAACTACGGTGGGCTGATTGATGATTATTGATTATAGCCATATTCATATAAGTAATAAAAATCGTAACATTTCCTCGCTGTCTCCTATAACACGAATTTATGTCGCTCTGTATAATATAATTTGAAACGGATTGCTGTTTTCTTTATAACGTCCACAAATAACACACTTAAAACGTTATACCTAGGTATGTAATATAATATGTATAAATATTTGCAGAGACCAAAAAAATGAACACAGAATAATCAGAGTGTAATAATATATAATATAAAGACTGTGGAAATGGTGTACTGTTTATAATAATATGAAGGTATATAAATATATAATAATATTATAGTATTGCAGTGTAAGACATGAACACGCACACTCGTTTGTACAAACAGTTTTGCATATTCTATATTTCTATAGGTATATTTTACCGCCCTAAATATATGTAGATATGCATTAAGCGTTGTGACTTGGTGAATATATATATATATATTATTATATTACGAGTAGGTACCTCCTGCTATGTATGTGTGTGTGTGTGTGTGTATACAGTATACACATTACAGTATTACACATACATATATAAGGTACATACGCGTTTTGCGACCTATTTTTTTATTTACTCACGTCGTGCGATTCCTTTTCTAATAATTGTACGGATTGGCTCTACAAAAATTAAAATATGGTTTTCCATTAAAAAAAAATTACACAGCCTTCTTGATAAACAATAATAATATAACGATTATCTGTTCGAAGTAAAGTTGAAAAAAAAACATTCTTACGCATTAATTTAGACTCTGAAGTTATAACAACTATATCGGGATAGATACTTTGTAATATTTAATCAATATCGTATAAGGATTTATATCACAAATATGTATTATACCTAATAACAATGAGATTTGACTATAAATAGTAGGTAGGTACAATTTTATGTACTATGAATCTGGTCATCAAATAGGTGGATAGGTCCATATTCTATAAAATGTTAATTATAATATATTATAGTAGGTACCTGTACTCTGTAGCTATAGTTAGGCAGGTAAGTATTTGTGTAGAATGTAGGTCATAGCCCATCTGCCCATAGGTGGCGATTTAATATTAAATTGTATTAGAGAAGGTCTAACATAATATTACCCATGTTTTTAATAAATAGACATACAATTTCTCTTACAGAAAAATGTAAAGCATTTTTTAGTTCAATAAAAAAAATAAATGTTTACTCATCAACGGAATGAACGGGTCAGGGCCTGATGCCAAAGAAAAAATCCACCAAAATAGAATCCAACTTATAAATAGGTAGAAGTCTTAAAATAATAACAAATCGTTCAAATATTATAACTTATAAGTTATATTATTAAGGTATAAAATAATAATATATTTTGTCAAGTGTGACATATTTTTTAGGGCTTGATTATTATTTGAGTGTTCTTTTCACCCCTACGTTCTATGTTTAAATACTGCAATAATTGATATTTGTATAATCGTATCTATAGATATGAATGCGTTAACCGAACGATATTTTCCACGAATTGTGTGGTTTTACATGTAGGTACATTGTACATATTATATTGATATGAAATTATTTTTCAAAGGTCAGGGACTTTACACATACAAGACGCAAGTCACTCGGTTAATAATGCAAACAGATATTTAAAAATTAAAAAAGTCATAAAATATTTAAATTGCATTGGTTATGTACTTATGTGTGTTATAATATTTCACATTTTAATTATTTAGGTCGATGTGTATATTATAATCATAGACCTATAAGCTAATGGACAGCGCATTCCACTCTGCCCTGCTACCATTGCTAAGTGCTCATCTAACCAGAGAGAGAAGAACTTAAAATAATGAGGAGCCCTCTAAGGAACTGTAAATATACATTTTACTAATTTATTTCTTTTATCGCTCACTCTATATCGTACCCCTGACTTCTCTCACTTAGCGGTGTCCATATATTTTAGTTTATAGGTTTATGATTAATTAGGAAAATGTATGTTCTTCTTTTATCCCATGGAATTTTCACAGACCTATCAAATAATTATTATTACTCTACATAAATAATAGCTATAGCGCCTATAGGTAATTTATTTCATCGAAATATAATTATAATTGTTCTTTTACTTTTTGATTTTAAATACCTACTAATCGAATACAGTTCAATAATATTGAATTTCAATTTCAACAATATTATATGGAAAGACTCAAAGACTCAAATATAATAAATTAAAATGTTTGTGATATTTTGATTCTTGTACCTATTTAGTTGATGACAAAAAATACATAAAATATCTAGGTAATACATGACGATTATAATCTTCGTAACTACCTATAATATACATCACTGCAGTATCATTACAAGATTTTTTTGACTGATGTCAATAATGAATAAACTGATATGAAAACAAGATTACCTATACCTCACGCGTTCTGGTATATCAGAAGTTAGAACGGATCAATTTTTTATTAGAACCTATATTAAAATTTATAATTCAGACAACGGTATGGATATATGCCATATATATAGGTACCGAGGTTTATCTGCGAAAACTGGGTACACTCTATAAATCAATTACCTACATTACTAAGTAGGTATCCTATGCATATTTTAGAATTCTGTCTATGGTAGATTGATGATCCAGCAGTCTAGTTTCATGTCCCGCAAACCGAATTCAAAAATATGTTTGGGGTACCTACTGAGTAATAATATGGGTAATTTAGTTGTACAGTTTACCCTAGTTTCGTGAACACACGGTATATATTATATACAATCATAGTATACCAATGAAACGGAGATCGAAAATCTATTTAAAAAAACAAGTTTTTTTTAATTTGTGTACCACTGCTGGTATTATTATAACATTACCTTGACAGCTCCTCCACCGGGAGTGTGTTTAATATTGTCTTTAGACCCAATTTTCGGTTTTGCCTTGTCTTTAAAGTCGAGCTTAACGGTCTCGATTTTTTTGTCTCCTCCCCCCGGCTTGTGGGTTTTGTTGTCCAGTGAACCTACTTTAGGTTTGGCGTTCCACTGCAGCTTAACACTTTGAATCTACAAAAATAAACATGGTAGGTTTATAAATTTCAATACAATTCGAATTAAATAAATAATAACGAAAATAACATGACAATTATAATAGGATGAAATAATATAAATTATATAATAATATGATAATTTATACAGGTACTGATTAAAATTATCGCTCTTAATTAAACGTTTCAGTTTTCACAATTTCCCCTTTAAGAAATTAACTAAATATTACAGTTAAATTTTCGTCCCAGATTTCATTTTCCAAAATATTTTTGTAAGTGTGGGTGATCCCCAAATGGGCTTGGCAAAAATTTTGTTTGATAACCTATAAATATTTTAAATATTTGGCCGAATTTTTGTTTCCCCGGGGTCAAATTTTATTCCCAGTCCGCCACTGTAGCATGCATTAGCATCAATACAAGTAATCGCGTGCTAGGTATTAAATAGTAGCCTTTGGGATTTTAGTGTGCATAGGCACCTATTATAAAAAATTTAATTTATATATTGAACTTTAAATTATATTTACAAGGTGTATTATAGCTGCAATACAACATCATTCATAATGACTATCATTAGCACACATGGGCAATGTCGAAATTACAAAATATGTAGGTGCGTACAGGGTTCAACTGTATTTCGTGCCTCATATTAATATTATAATACCAATAATATTATTATAATTACCTTTTTGTCTCCACCGCCGGGAACGTAAGCGTCATTTTTGGCCTCGACTCTCGTACCAGCTTTCCATTCGAGTTTTCTGTTTTCGATTTTCACTTGCCCACCTCCCGGTTTGTGACTGGTGTTCTGCAGTGATCCGACTTTCGACCGGACTACCTTGAGATTCGGAGATGGCGCAGAGCCCACTTGCACTTTGTTCATTGGCAACCCTATACGTATTACCAAAACGACATATTAAGTACAATATAGTAACGAACAGTCAACGGAATTCGATTCCACCACACGGCACACCCCGTGGTTGTCGTCACTCACTCTTCTGTCCAATTGACATCACGCTCTCCGCAGGAGACTTTGGCGTAACCGCTCGGGTGGGAGTTTTCAATTCTGAACGGTCTTTTTTCGGGATTTTGCTCGGCGACTTGCCCACGTCATTGTCGTTCTGATGATCGCCCTGTATGCCGACAACAGTAATAAACGCATTACTATTATAGTCGTAGGTATAATCTATTATAATAATTTATAATGATGGTTCTGCAGTGTACCTACAACCGATGATATTATTCTCTTAGAATATGAATTATATCTATGTAGGTGTAGCTGTATCTATAGATACATACAAGTTACTACCTACAACGAGTAAAGAGTTAAACAGTAAATACACTGTAGACGACTTACTTTCGAGTTTGACGAATCTTTGAGGGGTTCATTGTCTGCAATATGCAATCAGATAAAAACAAATTAATTAATATTTATTTTGTTATTTTATACATTTATTGTGAATGTAGGTAATTATATTATTATAATATTGGCGTGCAATTGAAATTATTTTCAATTTATTACAATATCAAAAGTAATACGTAAGTATATATTATATAGGTATAGAATATATAGTTTTAATAATTTGCGTATACACGACTATTATATTATATAGGTTGAAGCTGTAATTTATTAGCCATACTTTTATATACAATTACATTTATATATATCACATAGGTAGCCATATTTATTTATGTAAAAACATACCAAACTATAATATATATATATAGGTATATTTATATATAGTTACCTAACATGTAGGTACCTATATATGCTGTATAACGTGATAATACAATAGGTATTTATTAGTTATATTATATTGTAGAATATAAATATATATTAATTACTTATATTCTTATTATAAAATTGAGTGCAGAATATGATATACTTAATATACTTAATGTTTTAAGAAGACGCTATACGGGCATTGGTTGTCTTCATCTAAAAAATTAGAGTGAATCAACCTATTATGAAACTTGATGGTAAGACGTAAGAACATATTAGAAGGTACCTGTATTTTTATGTGGGTTTTTTATAAAAGTTCAATTTTTTAGCAAATTTTGCTTATTTAATATAGCGCAAATTAAAAATGCTAATAGACTTACTTAAGAACTGAATTATCTTAAAAATCTCGTTTACAAACACAGACAATGTTCTTACTATCAAGTTTCATAATAGGTCGATTTACTTTAATTTTTAAACTAAAGAAGCTAAACGTGATCTACTGAGTGTAAATTTGGTATGTTACGCATACCTATACTCATTAGACGGAAACAACAAATGTTTGTGTAGCGACGTAGCGTCCGCTTATGGATTCAATATCCGCGTGCAGTTGTGGTATCGAATGTGCATCTCTAAAGTGCTATAGGTAAACACCACTACTGCAGTGGCTTTTGTGGAACACCACACGATTATTATAATGTGGTGAATATTTATATATTTTTATACGATGAGCGGGGAGGGGATATAGCTAACCTAACCAATTCTGATTAGTTTCCTTACCCGTAATTTTATTTTTGTGACATTTTTAGAACATAAATATTATGTTGGGTACCCGAAGTCGGAAATATTTTAGGCTAAAGCCACTCCCCATTAAATTCATCACGCATATCGCATATGCATACATCTCCGGTTTCAAGTTAAATTTTACAGTATAAGTGTCAAGTACACGTGTTGGCATACCTATTATAATATAGTTCAATAATAACGGGTTATATGCATTCGACGTACCGGTATAATATAATGAAACTACTGCAAGTCACAAATTATTTATGTTTTATACTTTTATTATGGTAAAATAAATATTCTACATTTAATTTTAGTATCTAGACTTTATAATTTTAATCTTAATAATTGTTAGCATTGTTACGCCACGTTTTGTCTGTCATTGTAATTATTGTTATAACGGAGTTAAATGAGATATTATATTCAAAGGACAATTAATTACCTAACGAATAAATATTATGCAATATGTTTGGTGAATATAATATAGTGCGTGCAATCGGCCTGCTGAAAATAGCTGAATAATACCTTTAATTATTTTTAAAGTATCGGGCCTGGAGTTCTTACTCAGCTGCGGCACGACCTCGTCATCTCCGACGGCAACGCGGTCTTCCGCCGAGATGAACGTCGCTCTATACCGTTCGTTTAGCGGGTCACCATCGCTGGTCGACTTCACCGCCGCGGCGGCGTAATCCCTAGCAGCTCTCGTCTCATCCACCGGCGGCTCCCTACCCCGCGCCGAGCCCACCTTGCCGTCGTCGTGGGCCACCCGCGTTTGCTCCTTGGCCGTTTTCAAATGAGTGGCTTCGAAGTGTAACTTTCTAAGTTCCGACGCCCGGTTGCCGTGCTCCACCGCAACCGGCCTCTGGGCAGCAGGCTGATCTTTTTCCGGTGATGTTTTGCGCTCGTACCGCGGCTGTTCGTAATCTCTGACAGCTGACGGTCTGTCGTCCGGCCTAGTCGCCGCGGCCACCTGTCTGCTGGCCGCGCCGTACTCTGCGGTGGGACCGACTTCTGATCTGATGTTTTTGAAGTCCGTCAAACGTCTGCCAGTCACGTCTTCCTGTTCCGTTTTCTTAAACTCGGCGGCCGGCCGTTTACCATCCTCTTGTACAGACTCCTGTCCGGGCGCAAGTCTTCGAGCACCACCGGTAAGCTCCGACTGCCGCCTGTTACCACCTTCATCCTGCAACAAGTCCTGCGCCGGCCTCCTACCGTACTCGGCCACTAAGTCGTTCTTTCGTGACATCATATCCACTCCGGCCTTTGCAGTATTCGCGTCCAACACGCTGTCCCGTCTCGTCAACAAATGTTGCTGTTGTTGTTGCTGCTGCTGTTTCTGTTGTTGTGGCTGTTGTTGTTGTTGTTGTGGCTGCAAGTCTCTGATTTTTTGCATGCCATTTTGCACCTGCGCCGGTTGTCTACTGCCGTTGAGGACACCATCGTCTTCCTGCGGAGCAGCGGGCCTGGTGCTGTTGTACCCGCCGGCTGCCTGAGTAGGAAAACGTGTCTGCTCCTGTCCCTCGGGTATCACCAACGATTGTCTTCCGTACTGTTGTTCCTGCTGCTGTGGTTTTCCGTACTGTACAGCTCCCGGTGCCACCGCCCTCGGCTGCCACTGCTTGTTTGGGTCGGCCGTTCCGTCACCGATTCGACCGCCTGCAAATACTGTCGAATCCCTTCGATTTAGCGCCGGCTGCTGCTGTTGGTTAATGGAAGAGTTGACCACTACTTCTTCGTCATCATCGCCTCCTACGGGTCTCGCCTGTCTACCGTTTTCCGACCTGAACTGCGTCCTGTCATCGCCGACCCGAGAGGTAGGGCCACGGCGGTCCTGCATCGGCAGCTGTTGCCTATACTGTTGTTGTTCTTGTTGCATTGGTGGTCTCTGTTGCATGCTGTTGTTGTTGTTGATGTTGTTATAGTTCTGCGGTGGAGGCCCACGCTGTTGCTGCAACTGTCCCGGACCACGGACGCCGACGTCCGGTGGCAGAGTTTGCCGGATAAGATTCCAAGGACTGGCCTTATTATCACCGGGTGTTCTCGGTGGTGGCGGCCTTTGCTGCTGTCCCTGTGGCCTGTTGGGCGCGCCGTACGGACCTTGCTGATAGAATTCGGGCCGCGGCGGTCTTGCACCGAATTCAGGGGCCCGCTGTTGCGGTGGCTTGGGTTGTACCGTCGTCTGATAATGGAAAAAATACAAACGTTTATACATTACATACAAGCGGGTGCGCTCTTAAATAATTATCTTCTTATTGAAAATTAATTTGGCGCAAATAATAAGTGATTTTTTATGTTTACAATTCTGTTGCAAGTTCCACTTTATTAAATTATTGTATTACAATAACTTTAATTTGTCCTCTATTTTACAATATAATAAAACTATATGTATTGTTAGTTGTTACTCTTGCACTCCAAAAAAAAATTCTAAATTTGTGGAGAGTGAATATTGACTCTACAACTTATTGTTTTTTTTAATTGTATTGTAAGTGTTATAATTCTGTTATACTAGCTATTAACTATTAGAATGTAGTCTTATTCGGTCAGTCAATTCTCTATAATAAGTTTCAATTGTATAATGATAAAATTTCACCCTAAATATCGCGTAGTAGTGACATGAAATTTAAGTCCAGCACACATATTTTTAAAATCTATTGTCATAAACTCATAACTCATTAATAGGACCTTTCAATACAATATAACAGTTATTGTGTTTTTTTTAATCTATCTGCTGACTGTTAATGTACATAATAGTCTATTAATTGTTATGACAGACAACACTAGGTTTACGATAGTGTACTACAAAATATATCATTATTATGTTGTGTTGATGATTAAAGACAATAAAATGGTATGAAAAAACTGCTCGCTCATTCGCAGACGAAAAATAAGCGCCCATCGTCGAAACTTCTCTATAATATACAGTAAGTAAATCTACTTTCAATAATTTTTACATAGCTTACACGTATTATTATATTTGTTATGGCTCTCCCTGGATCCATATTATACGGTTCATAATAATTATACTATACAATATTATTGTGTATAGGTACCTGTGTTATATCTCTATCAGTGCAATACTGTGAAAATATTCGTCTCTTACCGTGTTCAATTGACTTCTTGTATCCGGTACGTAACCGCCGCCCGTGGGTTCTACAATGCTACTCCGACGATGGCTGTCCATGTTATTTTTTTATTGTTAGTTAATTTCGTTAGTGTTCACAATGTGTATCGCAGTTACGCGATGCCATGTGGGTATTAATTAAAAATATATTATTTACGCGCTATATATATGTGTATTTGTATTTATTTAAGAGAGTATATTATTATAATTTAAACACGATTTTGTCGTTTAAAACGATAATATATATAGGCTATATTATAAATATAGCGAACAATATTATGTTATGCATACATTTTTAAATAGGTATTGTATGCGTCCGTTCCTTGCGATCACCTAAAAATGACAACCACAACATTTAGGTACATCGCTTTAAACACGATACACACCACTGGCGAATCGTAACTATATTGAATCGCACGCGTCGAACACTTAACATAATATACTTGTATATACTGTAGGTATATACATATTATAATAATATACTGACTGACATCGTGCCTACACACACAAAACATAAATATATATATTCCTATATATTCATATAATGCACGAACGAAATGGGGCAGAATCGATTATTCGGTATGTTTCGAAGACTGTGGGAAGAGGGGTAGACAACGGAAAACTACTATATTCCACCCAAAGCTACGCTGCACGTCATCCATCGATTTCCGGAGCTATACATGTATAAATTAAGCGTCCGTGAGTATTTACGGAGACCCCAAAAATGAATACCTGTATGGCGGTATATAAGACCTTTAACTATTATAATTTATGATGTTTATTTTATAAGTTATATGAGTTTGTTCCATAACCAAAAACGACTGCACGAAAAGCAGGCGTATCATACTTACGACATTTTTTTTTCTATTTGATTTTGACTGAACATTTTTATATGGATGTTAAATATCTTTAGAATGACGGATAAATATAATATATAATATGTCTATAGATATATATTATAATACTTCTAAAAAAGTTAATATGGTTTAAATACCCACTCGTTTTCTACTGTAGGCACATGGCATATCAATATATAGTACTGCGCTAAGCCTTAACGCAGTTCAGCTACTATACAACGATTAAATTAAAAAAATTAAAAATGTAAAAAATATTTGTGCAATTAACACTTGTAATAACACAATAAATTGTAATACATTTTGCAATTAAGTGAGCAAACTCTCTGATAAAAATTGAAAAATGTATGTTCTAACCGTTGTCCTCAGAGGATTATCATTGTCTAATTGTCTATACAGAATATAAAGAGTATTACAAAATGAATTTAGATATATAAAATGTGTAAATACTATGCACACATAGTATTATATTTGTAATATAATATAACATACCTTATGGACGAGTTTAATAATAGTTTTACGGAAATGAGCGTGAATATGTGTCAAAGCTTGGTAAGTTCTTGTGCTTCACTGAGCTCGGCGAATACAGCTCTAAACTTCAGCGTGATCAAAATTCGCGTGCTTATACACGCGCTAATAAAACACTATATACTATATACGGCACGAACAGCTCCCGATTTCCCTATAGCTAGGCGGGGTTGGTGGTGGGGACAGCCTTCGGGGGTGACAGAGTGGAGGCTCTTCCCTCCATCACTTTATATACATATATATATATATATATATATATATATATATATATATATATAAATACAAAATATATTTTCCACCAATAAAAACACTATATACACACATAACAAATTCCAACAATCATAATAATACATATGACGTTTTTCTATGACTTTATATATTTTAGTGAGTCATATATTTGGCATGACGTTATTCCAAAATGCAAAATCTGTATATCTATATAGGCTATATTTCCTATATATTATAATAATAAATACCATAAATATAAAGTAATCAAATCATGTAAAGGTAATTACGTGTATTAATTTCTATTAACCATTCCAACATTCCAATTGTAGTTTTATACAAAATTAGTAATTAAACATATAATATTCTAAGTTATTTGACAGGTAAATATACCTAAACGGTTAAACGGAATAAAATAATAAACTACCTATTTGTTGGGTATTTTCATCAATAAGAAAATTTTGTTTGTCATAAGCCGAGTAGTTTTATTAGGAACAAAGGTTGCTAATTTTTAGGGGGCAGCTACATTATCTTAATTTGTTTTTTAGTAAGGATTTTTTGTGTTTTTAAATATTAGGTACCATAAAACTGAATATTCCTATAAATTAGACTGTTTTGACACTAGTAAGTGTAGATCTATTGATCGATACATAGGAAATCTGTACATAAATAAATATAATATGCACCTATATAAATATAATATAGCACAAACATGTTAGATTAAACGCTTTAATATAGTAGGTACGATATTTTTTTCTCGGTGACTCAGTTACAATAATATCTGATATAGATTTTATAATGTAAGCCAATTTTGAACAAGTAGGTTAAAGCTTGTTGGTACATGTTCTAGTTTAACTGACGACGAGGGTTGTCTTTATATTTTCATAGAAAAAAATATAAATAAAAATACGAGTATAAAGTGAAAGGCGCTGCCTAGGTAATAAAATATTGACATGCAATCCTGTAATAACGGCGTAATCTCCTGTTTAGTAAATATCCACCCTCCCATGATGCCATATTATTATTATTATTAGCTTCTGGAAGAATATACCTACCACAAAACACTGTGGATATTATAATAACAATAAATTGAGTTCTATACGTAGGTAAGCAGCGTACATTTTAACGACTGTGTACAGTGAAATAAGACTATTATATGACATTATATACCTAGGTATCTTATGATTATACTATAATATGTTCAGTTCCTTTGAGAAATATAACAATTGAAATTTGAATTGGGTATATTTCTACTTTACCGGGCACCCTTTTTTTTGCAATTTTTTTTTTGGAAACTTATGTAGTTAAGTACGCTGAAAACGATGGTGAAAACCGAATTTGGGGCACGGACTTAGTTTTGAAGTTATGGCCTAATGAAGTTCACTATTTCGCGATTTTTTTTTTCACTTATTTTGATTGTGATTGTGCCGTGGCTGGCAGTTGTCCGAAAAATGATAAGGTGGTTGTACGTTGGTTAACCTGTGGTTACCCTGTGACCAACTTAAGGTGGTGTTGCACAGCAAGTCGGGGGATATTTTCGATTTGCGGAGCGGAGCGACGGCGCCGAGGAGCGTAGCGACGAGTGCCGCTAGCACGGCATCACTGTCCCCATCCCGTCTTTCATCGTATGATAACTACCTATCAATTAGTTTAGATTACATCATGAACTAAGAAGTTCATGAATTACAATATTACATACTACTTTAGTTTGTTTTTCCCTGCACTTCCATTTGATTTTATCCAAAGACACTTCTTCGCGTGTTAATGTCATTTTATGCCCTCTTATGCATTTCGGTGCATTATGTAATACACCAAAATTCTGGCGCATTTCTATTAATGCCAATCCTTCGTTTTGAAGAGACAGTTCTTTTAAGTCATATAAATTTAAACTCTTGACACTCATTGTAATATATTTTTATATTTATAACAAGTGCAATACTGAAACGTTTTAGATATCTTTGTAATCTCATATTTAAATTGTTTTTGCTCAAAATACATTTATTATTTGTTATATTATCTTAATGAATGTCGTTAAGATAAAAATAATTGGTATATAGTGGTGTTTTCGAAATAGTCGTAGTAAACTAGTGTGATGCGCGAATGCGTAAAAATCGCGAAATAGTGAACTTCATTAGGCCATAACTTCAAAACTAAGTTCGTGCCCCAAATTCGGTTTTCACCATTGTTTTCAGCGTACTTAACTACATAAGTTTCCAAAAAAAAATTGCAAAAAAAAGGGTGCCCGGTAAAGTAGAAATGTTCCTTGAATTGAATAAAAGTACTCACATCGCACATGCAACAATAACAATTATTATCTTTTGAATTTTAATATTTAGGTACCTACTAGCAATACGTAATATTTTATTTTAATTTCTAATTCAATAATTAGATAAATCAGTGTACTACATGTCTGCATTACCTAATAAGTAATAACCCTTAGCTGCCTACTTAAAAAATTACACTATCTATATTCTTCAGATACATTTACAAATGTTTAACGATTTATTTTGGCATCTAAATTTTTTTAGAATATCAGTCTTATGCATGAAATGCTCAAATGCCTACGGCCAATATGCATATTAGGTATATTTAATTAGTATCGAAAACATACTAACAGAAACCTTATAAGTTACAACATCAACATATTATTTTACAATACAGTTACATTATATTTAATATTTATATACAACTTGTATGAGTATATATATAAAAATGTTACCCACATCCGTGATTAAAACATTTATACTCACATTGACCTTTGAGACTAACGGTTTTGTTTTGTTTTATTTTTAGTGTCTTACTAACCGTACTGTTTTTACAGGAAATTACTCTATTATCATTATATTTAATGACCTGTTGAACTTATCTGGTAAATGTAATTGTTAATTTTGTGTCGATAGAAATAAGTTGAATTATTATTATTTTAAAAAAACCCACTATACTATGAATCTCAAATCTGAATATGAAGACAGTACACATATCCGCATAAATATTGTTATGCGACGGTGCTAGATGAATTAGGTACCTAATTTTATTACAATTACATATATATCTATATAAAATAATTGACAGATTTAGGTTCTATTGACGATTATACATGGCTAACTTATCGTTTCAGGTGGAATTATATTGTTATTTATTATAATTTATGGTACACGCGTACTGTGCATGTTTTTTGACTAGACAAATTGCCACCAAAACAAAACGCGTGTCAAGTACAAGTGCACAGAAAATGACAAGCGCTCGGCATTTAAAAAAGAATTTATTACAGAATATTTTTCATAATTTTTATTTTTTATTACAATAATAATATGCATTACGATCATATTGTGATGACAAAGGAGGGTATAGTTGGTGGTACTATTATATTATATAGTATATACATACGCATTACCCAAGATATAATACTACGTGTTAAGTAGGAAGGTACCTAATGTACTTACTATTTTGCCAAGCGCAAGGTCTGTTTAAATTGCCGTTCGTAGCAACGGGTGAGATCTCATTTTCAAACTGTATGGTTGATATTTGCTCAGGTGTCTGATAGATGTAATTTTTGACAGGACTGGTATTTTCTAAAATACAAAAATACTATTAATTCCATCCGATAAATAAATATTTATTTTATAGATAATGTATATAATATATATATTATGTAGGTACGTAAATAGACATATTTAACTAAAATATAGATTATTTTTTTGAACCCGTGTACAACATACAATATTATTAATACTTGCTGCTTATTATAATATATATTATAAACTATAGCTTATATGAAATTAGTCCTCAAAATTAAAAATTGTTAATTTATAAAGTATGATCACGATATTATTAATTAATAGAATATTAATATAATCCAACAATTAAATCTATAATATAGAAATATTAATTTAAATTAAATGTAATTATTTTGAAAAATACTTAATATAAGGCTAGTCAAAATTAAGAATGTTATTTTATATTTCAAATTTCAATATGTGTATTTTAAAAAAGTAAAAGTAAGTTTATTCATTATTCAAGGTACTATCATAAGCGTTTACATTTTAAAACATAATTTATAATAATATAATTTTTCTATATAATATACAACTCATGACGTTAATTAATACATATTATTAACTAATACACGCTTGAGTTATTACTTATTAGTTATTATTGAACTTTCCATTCGTTTTTAAGACACCTAACTCCTAAGGTTTACAATTTTGTATATTATGTTATTTTTACTCTCGGATACTATATTATAATTGATTGTGAGTTGCGCATAAGTATTTTAATTTATTAACACGTATATTGTATTTTATAATCAGAAAATTGGAAATTAGAAATATAGAACGGCTATTCAGTATTCATTAATATTTTTTCGATGAAATTTAAATACTATTTTACTCAATTATTAAAATCATATTGACTACATAAACTGCGAGCATATATGGAAACATTTAACATTTAACATTAATAAATGTAGGTATATAGTAGAAAGCCTTCAATGTTATTTAATTTAATAAATTTGTAGTAGGTTGTAGGTAAAGCCGTATTGGTGGGCATATATTTTAGCAACTACCTAATTAATTAAGGTAGGTCAGGCCAGCAAAGCAAGATGTGCTGAGCCGACACTAAAATAAATTGTTCTGTGTCACACCGTCACACGCGCAGAAACGATCATAGAGTTTAGCAGGAGTGTGTGTGTGATGATCGTTCACGGAGACACGGACATCGGTGAAGTATTTTATTTACATACTTTGTGTTTGTATCAATAAAAGTAGTTACGACCAAAAACTGCGTTTGAGTTTTATTACAGTCGTTTTATGTTGCTATACCTTTTGAATGTACAGTACCGGGATGTGCTTACTGTATGGCAATGAGATTTTATTGAACCAAATAGCGCCTAAATATTTGAAATTTTTGAGTCACTTTAACTTAAAAATTACAAACGTAAAACGGACAAGAACATAAATTCGTACCTCATAAGCTAACAATGCCAATCTAATTAGATTTAGGAATTGTCAGTATAGCCAGTGGCGGCGTGATAGGGTGTTTCATGAGGCAATTGCCTCACGACCAATTAGGTGGTGGTACCCCCCCCCCCCCGGGTACGGATATTAAAACCACATATGAAATATGGTCAAGGGGACGAAGTGGCCGAGTGGTCTAATAAGGCGTCGGTCGCGACGCAGCCGGTGCCAGCTCGATTCCTTGGTCGTGGGCGGCAATTTTCTTTGGGCAAGTCACGGAGAATAAGTGCCGCCATCTCCCACCCGGGCATGACAAATACCTACGGGTGCCCCAAATAAAAAATTCTGCCAAAACAAACAGACACGTGTAACAAATCTACAGTACCCTCCCCTACAGTACCACAGGCTAATGACCTAAGTTGTCGAAGCCTTAACCCTAATAAAAAAATAAATAAATAAATAAATAAATATGGTCAACTAATGTCTAATACTATTAATTATACTAATTTTATAATAATTTTATTATATTTCTGATATTAACACAACAAAGTATATTATCGTTATAGAATTGTGAATTGGGGGTGTGGGGGCAAAGCCCCCACGGGTGTGTGTCATAAAATTTAGGTGGTGGTGGTCCAGCATTTATACTTGCCTCATAAAATAAAATAGTTCACGCCGCCACTGAGTATAGCTTAGAAGTTAGAGTGTACAAGGGTAAGGCTATACGGGTGATGCGATAGTATACATAATATGTGTGAATACGACGTCATCTGTGTGTTTCTAAAACGCAGATTAAATATGATTTAAAAGTGATATATTTTTTTTTACAGAATTGAGAATACCATGTGTTGCTGAGAATTAAATCTCGTGTTGTTTTTAGTAATCAAAACATTTAAGAACATAATATAGGTATTAATATCAAACAATTATAATACACTAATAATTAGGTAGGAATTAAATAAACTGATGAATTAACAAATTATATTCTCTTATCATTTTTGAATCTCTCTAAAGCTAACAATTTTAAATAGAGAGAACAATCTATAATAATTATTTATATAAAATATGTTATGTGTAATGTGTGCATTGCCTACACATTGCCAGGGCGCTATATACCTATAGTACGTACCTACTGCCTGATTTTGAAAGGCAATATAGACAAAATAATTGTGTACAATTATTATACAATGTCCGGGTTATATAGAATTGGTCAGTCCATCTTGAGTAAAAAAACCTACAATAGTTTTTGATTTATTTTATATTTATTTATTACAATACATTCTTAGTTTTAGAAAAATATGTAAGTAGGTACCTACAATATAATTTTTTACTTAAATGCATATTTTTAAATTGTTAGCACTTTATTAATATATTACACACGACTCAACAATACTTCACTGCACAAATAGGACCCACTAAATCACATGTTACGTATATGAATGTGTAATAGTTTGTTGTGACACTCAGACACTAATGAATTAGTAATAATGTATCTGTACAACATCTTGAATTACAAAATATATAGTTGCAATAGCTTAAAAATTAAAACAGATTTACCGATCAGAAAAATGTATAAGTAGGTTTTATAATTATTTTGATAAGCCATATTAGTTTTGTTCATGAAAAAATCTTGATACTGTGATAATTTACAAGATAATATTATAGAGAGTTTTATACAAGTACATACGTGTATTTTAAATGTAGATACACAAACAGAAAAATTTATCAAGTTTCATACTACTATTATTCCTTATTAGTTATGTATTATATTTCTGTACTATTACATTAAAAATATGTCGGTAAGCAATGTCAGCCAATACCTACGTAGGTACTAAACTGTCAGGAAACATTGCATCTGTATTCTGTTTAAAGTTAGTGATTCAATCAAATGCCAATTTGTTTTAATTTTTTTTTATAATCCAAGTTACAATGCCCATTTCCTAATTGA